TATGTATTAAGACCTTTAAAAGTATTATTGTAAATAAGAAATAAAGATAGTGTTTCCCTTGTGGTGCAGATAGCGGGACAAGGGTGACTCTGATTCCCGATTGGGGAAATGATGATTATCCAATGAAAAAAAAAATGTGCCGTACAATGCACACAACTACTGAGATAGTTCATTGGCAATATGCATTAGTGGCTAAGTGGTTTAGTTCCCTGAACATTGTGAGTACGCTCGGACGGGCTGACCACATGGAGTTTTCCTAATTTCTTCATCTGAATAGGGGCCAGTTACTCTTAAAAAAGACCTCCCGTAAGGCATTTCCCAGGAAGATCGCCCAAGTGTTGCTTTGCCTTAACTTAACAAACCAAACAATGGTCAATATGAATTACTGAAATATGCAACATTATTCTTTATTTATAAGCATAATTAAAATATGAAAACAGAATAATTTGAAGTGAGAGATTTATGCTTTCCTGGTTAAACTTTCAGACATACAATTTTACACGTGAACAATTTGCTGAATTCTCGAGAAATCCATTGTCCAAAGCATGTATTTTCAAAACGACAAAAATTATGAAGTGCAGCAATAGCAACACCTTGTTTCCTAAACTATCTTAAAACAATATAGGGCCAATGTGCTAAAATGTCATCATATCAGAATTTGTTGTAGGACTAATGAATATGACTTTACATAGCTTTGGATAAAAGTACTTATAATTACAAGGTAAGAACATTCAGATTAAAAAAAAACCATAATTATGTCAAAATTTAATTTATGCTTATAAAATTCAATAATATGTTTATAATATGGATGATTTAGAGAGNTCGTCTTCTGGGAGGTCTTTTTAAGGGAAACTGGCCCCTAATGACCGAACTCCCAGTGTTCGGGGTACGTTGACCGCTTTGCCACTGGTAGGCCCGCAACACGGTGAAGGAAAGGGTTATAATTATGAGTGTCACGCGAAAATTTTACTCTTTTTGTTTTTCTGTGTGTCGACGCATACAATCTTAAAGTTCCTAAAAGTTGTTGCCCACCAGTGGTCAAGCGGTTCCATTCCCTGGACACAGAGAGTTTGGTCTTCGGTTGGCGCCTCGCCAGGACGGGCTGGCCACGTGATCTCTTCCGGGTTTTCTCCACCTATGTAACGCCTGAATAGAAGCCAGTTATCCTTACAAATATCTCTCGGAAGGAATTTCCTTAGGCAGATCGCACAAGAGCCATAAGTTACTAAAACTAAACCTAAAAGTTTTTCGAAAACCGATTTGTTCTAAAATTAAAACCAAATTTTCAATAAGAAGTAATACGAAATAAATTATTCTATTCCTAACCACTGATACAAAAACCTTTTTAACGATTTAGCTGCATGCCATGCATATAAATGCAATGTAATATTATATATGATATTTTATGTATATCTAATAAATATTTTAGTTTCATTTTCGATGTAAAAGTTTGTTTTTATTAACTGGCTGCGTAGTATTACTATTAAATATTAATTTTAAAATATATAATATTGTATTAATAAATGTTTTTATTTAATTGAACTTAAGCATATCTAAACACGAATTTTTGAATGTCATTTATATTACTTGAACGTCAATTAACATAGTGTTTATTAATTAGCTAGTAGCCCGGGACGTTCCTATTACAAATAAAAATAATAATGAATACTGTTAATAAAAAAATTATATTATTAATTTAAATAACAACTGAAAATCATCGCCAGGGATGCCCATTACTGCACATTCTAGGCTTACTGTGACAGATATACAAACAGTGAAATCAATGGCTTATATAATAGCATTTGATTTAAATACAATTGCGACGCGTACCGAAAAACAGAAATAATAACAATAATAGGTTTAATTGTATTTATTTTTAATAAAATAGTTAATTAATTAACATAATCGGCTTTCGAAAATACAGTTTAATTAATAACTTTTTCATTACGTTAGAAATTCTGTTAATCAATAGTCGATTAATCGGTAAGATTGTTCAAGAAAGTAATAGTAAATAAGCGTAGATAAATCTTAAGCAATTCACACAAAAAGGTTTATATATAATTATGGTATTATGTGTATTTTCTCCTTTAGTTTCCTTAATTAAGTATAACTTTTTATATGAAATAGTAAATATACAGCCTCACTATTTTGGTTTTCAATAACGTGGGAATATATTACCTCATCATTATCCCAGATAATGGCATTCAATTACTTCTCATTATAATTAATGAAAAGTAAATTTTTTATATACTTTAGTAACCGATTAGATTGTTAGTATGTACATTAAGAATGCTTTTCTGTGTATAAGTTACAAATGATAAAAATAATCTAATATAAAGTTGACTTACCCCATTTTAAAATATTTTGCAAATCATTTTTAGAACAGGAATTTGGAATGCAAACGTCAATAAATAATTGCATTCCACTTTTCAAATTTGATGTTATTTGAGAAAGATTAAGTGGTTTCTGGAAATAAACATCAAAAATATAAATGCCATCCACTGTAAAAGAAAAATAAATTATATTCAATAATTAATATATGTGGTAGTGAAATTCCAATAACCTCAGCTTCTGATTTACACTTATTAAAAATTTCTGTGCGAAACTGATCTCGAATTCGGGATTATTTAAAACTGACGGTTGTGCAGTTATTGCCTCGACGTATGTGGCCGTCTGATGTGATAGTTCTATTGTGAAGTAATTTATCATAGTGTGCAATATTTCAAATTGTATGTAATCCCGGGATGGCAACACGGTGAAGTTTGTTTGTTTGTTAACTTATGGCAACGCAACACTTGGGCGATCTACCTAGTGGGATGCCTTCTGGGAGGTCTTTTTAAGGGAAAGCGGCCCCTAATGACCGAACTCTCAGTGTTCGGGGTACGTTGACCGCTTTGCCACTGGTGGGCCCGCAACACGGTGAAGGAAATGGGTATAATTATGAGTGTCACGCGAAAATCCTACTCTTTTTTTCTGTGTGTCGACGCATTATCCACTGACATCTTCCATATATATATGTAATTCACTACGTTTTGTGAATATTAAACTATGTTACGTGAGACTGAGTAAAAAGTTATAGTTATTTTATTAAAACCTCGGGTTTCGATCTTAAAGTTCCTAAAAGTTGTTGCCCACCAGTGGTCAAGCTTTTCCATTTCCTGGACAAAGAAAGTTTGGTCTTCGGTTCGCGCCTCGCCAGGACGGGCTGGCCACGTGATCTCTTTCGGGTTTTCTCCACCTCTGTAACGCCTGAATAGAAGCCAGTTATCCTTAAAAATATCTCTCTGAAGGAATTCCCTTAGGCAGATCGAGCAAGAGCAATAAGTTACTAAAACTAAACCTAAAAGTTTTTCGAAAACCGATTTGTTCTAAAATTAAAACCAAATTTTCAATAAGAAGTAATACGAAATAAATTATTCTATTCCTAACCACTGATACAAAAACCTTTTTAACAATTTAGCTGCATGCCATGCTTATAAATGCAATGTAATATTATATATGATATTTTATGTATACCTAATAAATATTTTAGTTTCATTTTCGATGTAAAAGTTGGTTTTTATTAACTGTATGCGTAGTATTACTATAAAATATTAATTTTAAAATATATAATATTGTATTAATAAATGTTTTTATTTAATTGAACTTAAGCATATCTAAACACGAATTTTTGAATGTCATTTATATTACTTGAACGTCAATTAACATAGTGTTTATTAATTAGCTAGTAGCCCGGGACGTTCCTATTACAAATAAAAATAATAATGAATACTGTTAATAAAAAAATTATATTATTAATTTAAATAACAGCTGAAAATCATCGCCAGGGACGCCCATTAGTGCACATTCTAGGCTTACTGTGACAGATATACAAACAGTGAAATCAATGGCTTATATAATAGGATTTGTTTTAAATTCAATTGCGATGCGTACCGAAAAACAGAAATGATAACAATAATAGGTTTAATTGTATTTATTTTTAATAAAATAGTTAACATAATCGGCTTTCGAAAATACAGTTTAATAACTTTTTCAGTACGTTAAAAATTCTGTTAATCAATAGTCGACTAACCGGTAAGATTGTTCAAGAAAGTAATAGTAAATAAATCTTAAGCAATTCACACAAAAAGGTTTATATATAATTATGATTTTATGTGTACAGTAGACCCCCCTATAACGCTTAGATACGTTCCACGCTAACCGAAAATTACGTTGTAGGAGTGAGCCAATCGCAGCCCGATAGGTGGGAACTTTACGGACTAAGGCTGTTCGAAAGGTTTTCTTCTATAAAATTAACCGATTCTAGACTAATTCCACTCAACATTTCCAAAACACGTATAATTTTTTGGGAATAATCTGTATAAACTATGCTATAAACAAAAAATTGTAGGATTACTTACACCGTTCGACTACGCCGTTGCTTAAAGCTGGTTTTCATCGCGGAACA